GTTTGCCATTTTAAATTAATACTGATCATCAAAATGTATGAGCTACATGCTGTATTTTTGCAAGGATTAGTAGAGAGAAATGGAGAATAGGTCAGGAAGAATCGAGAATATTCATCGAGGTTAAAAATAAACATTAATTATATATTTAATTGGAAATTCATGTCTCGTTTTACATAAAAATGCAATCGAGGATTAGCGCTTGTTTTTTTTATCGGTAGCCCACTAAAAGAGTGATTGTAAAGGTTGTTATCGTGAAGCGATAATTTTATCAAAACTTAATAAACAGAGATTGAATTCGTTAAGTTGAATTACTTTGCGAAACATTTGCAAAAAAAATAAGAAGAAATAATTGAATAAAATAAATGAAATTAATAACGATATTATTTAAGTAGAAATAATTAGATGAAAATTGTCAAGGAGATGTTTTTGATTGTTATTTCAATCAGTTTATACAGACCTGCAGTGATATAGTTCGATGAATCGGCAATTTCTTTTTATACTCAATCGAAAGTCGCAATACTGGAGTCACGACCAGCATCACATTGTCGCATCATTTGGATCACGCATGTACGTGTACTCTCGCTCGATTTAAAAGGAGAACGTCGGGAAGATGAGAGAGAAGACACGGGAGCAAAAACCATCCAACAAGGTCCAAGGCCAGCAACTATTGCATCGCGAACTCTTGTCCACTCTCTGAGCATCCATTATTTATCGCTTCCGCGGAATTCTGAATGTGGCCTCAACTCATCTAACAAGCCCGGTCGAAGACAATTTTAAAGAAAACGATTGCCCAAATATTTTTCAATTTATATTGAAGCTTTGTTATTTGAAGAGAAACGATTAAATTAGAAAAACGTCAGGAGATTGAAAATTCCACAGGAAGTTATTAAAATGAATTTTCGTACAAAAGTATTTTTTACATACTTTAATTATCATGGATTTTACGTAATTTTTGCATAAATATTTTTTTCTGTACAATATAGTAAAATTAATTACGCACAAATTAACTTGAAACTACATTTTGAAGAGTATATTTTCATTAGTGTAATTAAGATTGTTAATTTAAATAATTATTTTCTTGTTAAGATCCACGATGAGTTCCAACAATTATTCAAAAGAATCATAAGTTGACAAATGAATAGAAATGTAGGAAAAGAATTATTTAATTTTCGGAAAGATTTTTTTAAAAAATTAAAAATTGTATGCAAATCAATGCTCGATAAAAAAAACGATTATTCAAAAGAACCCGCATGAATTTGGAAAAAAAATTAGGATTAATCGATAAAGTAGAGAAAAATGTAACCAACGATGTTTTATCGACAAATAAGAGCTCTATATTATCCACCGAAAGCTGTTAATCCGTGACCTTGAAAATGAAAATTCCAGGAATGACTTCCTATACATAAGTAGGGCAAAATAGCAATGAACTGATTATGTCAATCGATAATTTAATATAGCACTTTCAAATTGTCTCGTCAAAACGACGCAATTGCATGCGTGGAATTGGTCTGAATATCACGGACTGAAAGTTTTTCTCCAAAAAATATTTTTTTATGCAGTAAATCTACATAGGAATGTCTTGAAAACCAGCTAATTGAATTTGCAGATCTATGTATAGAGTTGGAGCTTCATTCAAATGTTTCATTGGCTGTATGTAAGTACTTCTTTTCTTTTAATATGCTTTTTTTACGTTGTTTATGCGTAATTGCGGATGTATGCTAGTTTTCCCACTTGGTCAGGATAAGACCAACCTGATGATCCATCTTGATTACATCCTCTGGTTTTTCTTGTCAATCACTATCGTTCTTCCAAACAAATGAAATTTTAGGAACGTACGGAAGTTAAATAAGTAAAAAAGATGCTCATTATTATTCATAAAAGTTTTATGTATTTTTCATCATCTATCTCTCATGGTATATTCACAATTATTGTGACGTATGTGTTTGTGTCTAAACATAATCTTACATCAATTATATTAACTCATATTATTATTTACTTATACATTATTGACGCCCGTTATTCACTAGCGCAATTCATTTGCAATAATCATACATATTTTGTCATTTTCTGTTCATTATTTGTTTATTTTATTATTTCATTTCACAACACACACCTACAAACGTACAATTGTCATTAAGTTCAACCAGAATATGTCTTCTTATCGACTATACATATTTATTTAATTTTTTTAATGAACGCTTCAACGCTATCAATTTTATAATTGTTACAATCTTTATTAAAAATTTTTCTTACGTGAGTCTTGTTTTTTTCATTGCTTTTATTTTTTATTATTCATAGTATTTATTGTTCCGACTCTTTTAACATTTTATCGAAACTCCTCACAAATATTTTTTTTTTCTTTTTGTCTTTTTTTTTTTTATTTTATTTAAAAAACATTTTATTTCCCTTGACTCGAAAGTTACTTAATATTTTATGAATATATTAAATTTCACGGTATTTTTTATTTATTAACTTCTTTATTTGCATCAACATTTGTAAATACTCCTCAATGAAACAGGCGATGAACTTTTTTATCGAGTATAAAGCCATTACATCTGATCAAAATTTTTTTTTTCAAATTTTCCCTTTTTTTCTGTTGAGTATCTGTCAAAAAATATATACATGCATCACTTTGCATGTAAAATTACTGTTATATATATTGAATATACGGATGATTTAGGGTATTACTACTATATGTATTATTGGACAATCGTAACACTGTTTTATTTTTAATTTATTTACTATTGTTTATTACTTTTTTCAAACTCTGTTATTGTAAACTACAAATATTGTTCTTTAATCATTTTTTTTTATTGTAAAATCTGCTTCATCATAAGGCGGACAATTTAAATTTACGAGACAAATACATTCATTTTTCATCTGTTACACTTCTTACATACAATTTCTACAAACTAAGTAATTTCTTCACTTCCATTTTTTTTCTATTTTTTTATTCGCTTTTCATACAAAACAAAATGGCATCTTTTTGGCATTGGAAGAAAAAATACACTTTTAATCCTTTTCTTATTAATTTATCCCATCATATTTTTACATCGGAATTTTTATTATTTGTTTTTTTTTATTACTCAATAAGTCCGTTGCCTTTATTGAAATTTTTGTGAATTTTTTAATAATTTATTCTTCTTTAAATACTTTAATTTTGATAAATTCATTATATTTATTTATTATTAAGATTATTTATATTTACTTTCTAATTTTATTATTACTTTTATATCTATTTTGGCATCATCATTTCAATGTTCGACTTTTTTTATTTATAAAAATTTTATGAATTGTATTTTTTGTTGCATCATGGAATTATATTCTTTCTGATCCTCATATAAAATTTAGATAATATATTTATCATTCACAACTTACAGATTTCTCGACTAAAAGAAGAAATATTTTGACAGATTTGACGGAAGAATCATTCAAATAAATAAATTATCATTCGTACTCTTTTAATCCAATATATTTCAATTCTCAATCATAAATTACTTCATGTTACATTTTATTCAAAAATATCAATTTTTATTTATAAAAACAACGATATTAGTTAAGATTAATTTCTATGGTTAATAATGACTAATTTTTTTTCAACAATTTATGGTTCACACAATTAAAGTACATCAGATTAAATGAGCAATTCATTTATTCTAGAAAGACTCTTTTTTATTTATAAATCCACTAATCATCTCTCTAAAACATTTCTTCTTCAGTTTGAAACTGTTTTTTTTTATTTAAAAAAAAAATTTGAAGAATTATAAAACAATATTTCATAATTAAAAACATGATTTATGGCAAAAAAAATTAATATATATTATAATGACACTTCTGACTTAATATTTTTGTGACAAAATTCATTTTTTATTCAAGATAAATAGGAATAATTGATATTCGTGCTGACAGTTGTACTATTGTTACCACAAAATTATACGATATAAGATAATAATATTGTGTACATTTGATTTATTTATTTCCATTTAAAAAATTCAATGGTATAGTTTCAATATAAAAAATTGGCAATAAGAAAAAAAAAACAAAAATTCATTAGAGTATTTTACTTGGAATATCTTTGTCCATCCTTATACGATCTATTTATAATGAATGTGAAGAATGTTGGAACTAAGCTTAGAGAAATTTGGAATAGATTAGGATAGTTTGAGAACATCAATCGATACTGATAATAATAATTTATAATTAAACATTCATGTCTTAGGTTTATTGTACATATAAATGTACTTCCAAACAATAGCATCGATATTTATTCTCAAACCCAAACCCACTAAAAGTATAATAGTGGTAATAATAATAGTAGTACAATAACACTTTGTCAAAACTTAATTAATAAATAATTCATTAAATTAGATTATATGACTAATTATTATATATGATAATAATGAATGATAATATATTAATGATTCTTATAATACTCCGGGCGGGGAGGGAGATGGCTGGTCTGCCACATTTGTGTTTTAACTTTTATTATTTTTTAATTCTTTTCTTTATCTCGACCCCGCGTACATCGAGAAATAAAAAGTTTTTTTTTCATTGTTTATTACTAAAATTCTAACGATCGTACGCTTATTTATATAATTATCTATATATAATAATCATCTAAAAATCATGCTAAATTTGTTTTGAGGATCGGTCTTGCAGCAATAAAAATCATTACAATAAATAAATAGATTAAATTTGTTGCTCATGATCCCAAAATTTAATCCTCTATAATTATAATTACTAAACACGAATGTGACAAAAGATTAGATATATATTCTAATTGAATATTTATATAAAAAAATTATATAAATCATAGCAAGTAGAGTTAATTAACTCAAAATATAAAGAGTTACCTAATATGTACAAAATTCAAGTATAAATAAATTTTCACAGCGAAACATTATCTTTTAATTCGTCTTTTACATATTTAAATATTAAAAGTTAATTGCTTTTTAATATTTTTCATTATTAGACAAATTAAAATGTAATTATTCCCCAATTAATCGTTTATTAAATTTAATCCCTAAAAAAACCTTTACAAATAAATTGAATGTACTGTTCATGCTTCGGCGAAAGCTAATAGTATGGAGAAAAAATCTAAAGGTACATTTATTATTAATTTATTTTTATTTCAGTTTTGTATCTTTATTGATTTAATCCCTCTATTAACTCACCACATAGTGTCGTACTAATTGATTGTTAGGAAAGAGATACTTTGTACTTAAATGCCACGTTGGCGAGCGATTAGTAGTCGTGTATAATCATTTTTATGCATACTCAGTACGGTAGCTAGTGCGAAAACTCGTGCTTTAAAAAATAAATACGAAATAAAGAAGCATAAATGTACAAGGGGCGCAAAGTAATAGTATTCCCTATCATTAATTAATTAAACTTGAGATCATTTTCATCATCGTGTTATTGTTTGTTATAATTTTGTATTAGAATTCATTATTATTTTTTTCATTTAATCGAACCATTCAAAAGTGCGTCATCAATTGTGCAGTGACCGTACAACTAATCAACAACATAGTTATTGTTGCTATTTAAAAATTTAATCTTCTTATCTCTTTACGTTAAATGCGTAAAATAGATTATACTCATAATAGCCAATAGAATATCAAGGGGAAGAGCATATGTACCTGTACACGTTTTTTTTTGTTTTATTTATCTGAAAAGATAAGATATACAATGAGATATGTTTCCTCCTCGTGTACATGGCTCTCTATTACTTCTGTATCAACTAACTAATGAGATACAGCTTTTATAAACACGAAACTTTATCAATTTAATTGTACAGTCAAACATTTTTAATTTATTTAATGTCTTCGTCTTAAACTATTTGCATTAAAGCCTTTGCACAGTAAAACATGGCGCGACCTGCACTCACATTGAAAAGAAACGAGCACTTTTTAAAAAGAAACATCTTTTGGAAGAAAACAATTTTTTTAGATAATTTAGAATTGGTTTTATTTAAAATATTATTAGAGTCATTTTTTATTGAATAAAAAATTTGTTCTCTATTTAAAAATTGCTCTTTCATTTCAATGTACTTAAAATACTCTCACAATATGAAACAAACACAATTTTTCTTTAAACAAACTCAGATGCATGTCATTTTTTTTGCTCTATCATGCTATCTGCTTCATACAGTTTTCCTCAGCAATCATGGTCACCGTAACCTAGCTAAAGGGTCGGTATAAAAAGGGGAAGCCCCGAAAAAGTGGGCGGGATTATTATTAATTATGATATTTCCAATTAATTAACGTTATAAAATGTTCATGGAAATATGGCAGTGCAGTTTATTTATTCGAATGTTTGATAATCTTGATTTGTATAATTTCTTGGTTATTCCTGGTAATTGTTCTCAAGCAGAAATTTTAATTACTGCTTGAGGTGAAGGTCATTCTTGTACAGATTCATTTCCTTTTGCTGTTACTCATCCAATGGCACCCCCTTCTTGATAAGGACCAGTAATCATGCATGGATGCATCGGAAAGAGAGTAGTCCAGGTCATTGTAGTATATGTCGGTGATCTCATCATGAATTGAGAGTTTGGTACATTAGGTATATGTGGAAGAGGCTGTGGTTTATCCTCAGCAGCGGAAGTAATTGAAGTTTGTGTTGTTGTAGTACTAGTTTGAGTGTTAGAAGTTGAAGACGAGGTAGTTGATGAAGACGTGGATGTAACACCCATTTTTCTAAGTCGCATTTTCTCTTCCCATTCACTCCAACCATGCTTTGGTCTATTCAAATTACGATGTTGATAAAAAACAAGGCTTATTCTTGTTGGATTCAGTCGGTTTGGCTTCTTCAATGCAGTAGTACAGTGCATCTCGTGTTTTGCACACTCAAAAAGAACACTTCCATGACCTAGAGCAATAGCCACGCCTCCCAATTGCGGGTCTTTGAAGCATTCTTCGTTATCAGAATAATCAGCCACTTCGCCAAGCGGTTCGGACTTTGGCGGTGGCTCCGGAAGAACTGGAAAGTATGATGGAGGTCCGTAAATATCCCAGCGTGGTGCTTCCCACCTTGGCCAGCCAGAATTTAATCCCTGGTAAGGTGGCACAGTCTGATAAGGATACTGAGAAGAAGAAAAATGCTCACGCTTGGGTTGCTGATATAATTGAGGTGAATATTCTGATGTTTGGTGATAGGGCTGATAATTATAGCCTTCCCAAGTATTGGAATAAGATTTTTCAAGTGCTGGATACGTTGGATACCCGTATTGAGGAAACGGATGATGCCCTAGATTCGACATAGCATGATATTCTTGAACTTGCTTCACTTCTTCAGTCCAAGCCAAGTTTGTAGGTGGAATGTTCGATCGATTATCCTGGAATCCATCTTTTAATTTTTCTTCAGACCATTCCGGTCGTCGTTGATTAGGTTGAGGACTATAACCAGGTCTGGAGGTGTTCTGAATATTTTCTGAGTAATTTGATTCTGTTTTAGAAGGCTCCTGAGGCTTAAGAAATGTCTTGTTAAGTTGATTCTGATAAATTGTCTCGGACGGGTTTTGATTCGGAGTCGTTCTGGACGGTGGGCGTCCTTTTGGGACACGAAATGGTGATGGATCGTTTGGAACTTCCCAAGGATTACGAGAATGAACTCCAGAAACTTGGCAACTGATATTTTGATGTTCTGCTTTCATATTATCTTGATTCCAAGATTGATTGGTATTCCAATTATTGTTGTTATGACTATGGTTATTATTATTGTGATTAGTAGTCATTAGAGATTCTTGCCTTTGATCAAATTGCTGGGTATGTTGATTAGGTTGGTGATTATTATGAGTAGAATAATTAGGGTGAATTTGAGATATATTAGAATACGAATCTGATTGATTAATTCCTGCTTGTTGACCTGGATAATCATTTCTATAAGCATTAGGAGGTTGTTGAATCTCCATACAATTAGTATTTCCAGGATATCTTTGTTGGACGGGTGCAGGAAATCTATTCATCACTGGTGATTGATTTCTCATATGATTATCTGGCCCTGAAGTATGCTGTCCAATTCTTGGTGATGCGTTTCGCTGTTCTAAATGTGGTTGATGAGAGTATACACCACGTGGAGACACACTAGACTGTCTAGAATCTCCAAGACTTGAATAACTCTTACAAGATGGTGATGACATACTATAGTTGGAGTCTCCTGGAGTAGGAGGATATCCAGAACTTCTTGGAGAAATCATTTTCGGATCGTGAGGTGTTGACAAAGCACGTGGCGATGCATGACTAGCGTAACTAGCTTCGCCTGGTGTTCCAGGTAATGAATTCCGTGGTGACATTGGAGGTTGACCTCTAGAATGTCCTGGAGATTGAACATAATTTCCTCGTGGTGATTCTGGAGTTGAATTTGGTACATTGCGTGATCGTGGACGATGGTCTTCTTGAGAAAGAGCACTTCTTGGTCGCGTTTCGTCAAGACTAGTGCTATCTGGATCGACTTTAGATTCTCTTTCTAGCCCTCCAAAAGAATATTCACCCCATGGATTTAATCCCCAATTGTTCTTCCTCTGTTCTAACCAGCCATTACGATTCCACTGTTGTTCTCCTTGATATCCCCATCCTTGGTACATTGATACAGGACTATCTAGCACAGTGGAAGAAACTTGAGAACTTTGTAATTGTGCATCCATTCCTTCGAACATTGTATTCATTTCTAAAGAAAGTTGTGGATCTCGTGCAGAAGTTCGAGTGTGGTCTTGGAAGTTTGGTTGTTTGTTTTGTTCTATTGCTTTATCCATATTTTTAGCGGTTTCTTTTTTGCTACTTGCAGTGTCGGGTTCATCTTCTTTACGTTTTTTTCCATGCCGGCGACAAGGTTGAAGAGGTACTGAACGCACTCGAACTTCACATGGATACCTGATTGATCAAGTAAAAAATTAATTTATGTCTTTCAAAATTATTAATTAACAGTCTTTTTAAATCATAATCACAAAAAGTTATTCAACGATTCAAAGGGTGATTTATTAGCTGATTAATTTAATTTGTCAAAGTTAATAAAAAACTTACTTAGTAAGTTGTTCTATGGCACCAGATTTTATTTTCTCTTGCTGTCCATCTTTCGATCCAAATTCATCAGTGTCATCCATGATATACAAAGGAAGAACGTGCAGTTGTTCATCATCGGGTTTAGAAAGGCTTCGATGTTTTGTAAGACTCACCACCTTAGGGGGAAAAAAATTTAAATATTCATGTTCAATTTGAATTTTATGAATTAATTAAAATGTTTATTGAGGATTACTCACCACTGTACAACCATTATTCATATTGTGGAGATCCCTATGAGAATGAGCACAGAAATCAATACATGCTGTTACCCCTGAGAATGGTCTACCTGGTTTGAATCCTAATCTGCAATCGCTAGCTTCTCGTTCAAACTGAGTTTGATTATTGAAGGCTTCGGGTGCTAAGCTCAAATATAATGGTGATAATAGAGTCGCTAGTACGTGCATTCTTTCTTCAACTTCTTGCTCCTATTGAAAAAAATTCATCATTACTCTCTTGCTAATATTATTAAAATATAATAATAGCTAAAATAATTTTGTTATTAATTACTTCTGCTTTCACTGATAATCTAAACTTGCGGACGGTTTTACTTCGCGCATATTTACAGCCATTGTAATACATAGACCAAGAGCACCCGAATGAATAACTTGCACCACAACTGTCGGGATCAAGTCCTTGGCAGGCACAAGTTCGAGGTTCGTTTGTACCGCATCTACGAGTTGTTGGAAGACCAAATCGATTAAGTTTTTGAGTAAGGAGTGAGTATATGCGATCAGCTTCATGTAAAGGCACGCCTTCCCAAGCCACCATAGCTACCACAATCCACGCGGTAGCACATTTGTGACCTTGTCGATGTTTGACGATTGTCAGAATTTTTTCGTCTACTCCAGACCGTCTCAGAATCTAAAAAATACCAATCATTAGTAAATCAATAAAACAAAGATAAAAATTAATTAATTTTATTACTTTAAAGTTGTTTTATTAATGAATGAATAAATTTATTAATAATGAAATAAAAGTTACTAGAAAAGTAACTTACCCACTTTGCCATTGGACATCCTTGAGTCGTCTTGCCCTCTTTACCAGTGTAAACAATTTTCTCGAAGCGAATCGCATTGCCTTTGAGCCCTGTTCTTCTCTCAAGATCATTACGAAGGTCCGGTAGACTGGCAGCCGCACCAAGATGGGTGTAGTACGATCCAGGCTCCGGTGGACCTTGTGGTTGAACCTCATTTTACTTACAACATCGACTGATGGTTTCAATAAAAGAAGCCGGATGGGTATAGTATAGCCGATTGATTAATAGAAATTTACTTGATAAATTTCCACGATCAATAGATCAAAAATATTTCGTATCCCTCACCGTCGATGTCGTTATATTTTTTATGGATTTTTAAAGTTTTCTCTTATTTAGATACTTATTAACTGAACATTGTTTTTTTTGGAAAAATTAATCACATTGACGTGTACGCGCTGATGGTTAGTGTGTTCTCTCAATGTTAGTGTCGTGCGGAATACTCAATGGCAACTCACATTTATCGGCGGGAAAGCAGTCGCAGTCTGGAACATCGGTCCTGACATTGCTCTTTGACTTCTCATGATCTTGTGCCTTGCTGACCGTCACACCTTTAGAACTCTTAGCATCTTCACTCTTGATTTCACCGGATTGTTCTGATGAATCAGCAATAATCTCGTCTTTTGTTTGAAGCCCTTGACAGCAACCATCACGAAGATGTTCAGCAGTTGGTTGTTCTGTTCCTCCTCTTCTACAGCACCATGAACCTCCATCAGTTGTTAATTTAGCTGGACCACCATCACCTCTGAACTTGTACTCCACTTTATCTACTTCTTCAGACTCAGGCTCCGTTTTTATCGGCTTAGAAAGATCTTCTTCCTCCCGCAGTTTATGCAAAGAGTCGTTGGAAGAAATATACTCAACAGTTTCTTGTTTTATCGCTTGATTAGAATTGTAAATCACATCATCACCATTCGTATTTTGGTTAGTTTGAGTCTCTGGAACTTGCTCAGATTTTTCCGCTACTTTGGAAAAGTTAAATTCCTTCACATTTCTATCATTGTCTTCGACTGAATTAATATGTCCTTGATTTTTAATATTGATTTCGAAATTATCATGAAACGACTTGTTCAACTCTTCATTTATTTTATTCTTTTCATCAGTATATTTCATAAAATTTTGAATTGCTGTAATTCCCGTTTCAGGCAATACTTGTGTGTTATTGACACTATTATTAATTACATTGTTTCCACCTCCTGTCCACTCCCATAAGCCACCACCGCCGGGCAAACTATCGGCCCGGGGGTGGTGGCTATGCAATAAAAAATTACCGGTCATAGATTCATTCGAAGCTGCCATAGACATCATCGAGGCTTGATTAATATACTGCTCTGATCGTTTTTCCTGCATTCCAATAGATTTATCCGAGTTTTCATGCGAGTCTCGTATCCGATCATCAGTTGAATATTCGTTATTAGATCCATTTGGATTATTTGACGAAACTTGATGCTGAATCTGTTGATGTTGCATCTGCTGCTGCTGTTGTTTATTCAGTATCATAGACTTCAATCGATTATTTAAATTTGATCTATTAGATTGATCTTGGTCTTGAAAGCCATTAGCTTTGTTATCAGTACTCTGTTGTTGCCACATGATTCTTTCTCCGGAATTTTGCATATCCTGTTTGGTATTCTGACCCCAGTTAGGATTCTCTGCTGAACTTGGAGACCAATTCATTTGATTATCCATTTTACTATCCTGACTCTGTTGATTTGGCCACGTATTCTGTTGATTGCTAGGAGTTCTCCGTGGACTTGGTTGAGAATCAGGCCACTGTTGTTGTGGTTGTTGACTTCCATCACTCTTCATACTATTTGGTGACCAATTTGGTTGACTAGTAGGCGTATCTGGCCAAGACATTTGATTAGATGGTGTCAATCGAGGATTTTGTTCGATTTTTGTTTGCTGACTTTGTTGCCACTGCTGTTGTTGAGACTGTTGGACCTGTCCAGAGGGAGTCAGTCTTGGATTTTGATGCCCATTATTAGTATTTTGGAGTTCTGGACTACTTTGCTGCCAATTATGTTGACCGGACGGTGTCATTCTGGGATTTTGTTGAGCTGGACTTGGGAGGTCAACCATTTTTGGTGAATGCTGAGGCCAACCTTGCTGTTGTTGTTGTTGCTGATGTTGTGATGAAGGTGTCAGTCTTGGATTTTGACTTTCCCTCATCTTCGGGCTTTGTTGCGGCCAATTTCCCTGAGTTTGTTGTGTCGATTGTTGTTGATTATCATTAGCATCCTGCCAAGATTGTGGAGTTGGTGGCTCTCGTCCATTATCCCAACTCATATGACTGGATGGTCGTGACATGTCTTGTTGACCCTGAATATTCATGTTTTGTTGTTCGTTTTTTAAACTATTTTGTAAATTGTGTTGCTGCTGTTGTTGTATTCTAGCATCTGACCAACTCATTTCATTACTGACGTTGGTCATCTTTGCAGCGGAATTACTGTCAGACCACAAGTGACTTTGGCTTGCATCTGATACTGGCGGTTGTCTGGGCATTTGTTGCTGCTGCCATTGGTTCTGCTGCTGCTGACCCATCTCTACGTAGCCTGGATATCCGTTAGAGTTGTGTGAACTCTGTGGGTCCGGTTGAAGTGGATACCCAGGCATCTCGTTTCCCGACACATTTGTCGAGGCGATGGTAGCGAAACCTTTGACTTGAGTATCTTGGGAAGCTTGCGCTTGAGGTGGTTGTTGTTGAGTGTCCATTTGTACAGAACTGCTACGACTAGTTGGGGTTGTTGATGGTGGTGGTGCCATTGTGACATCCTGAAAAGAGGATCATTCGATCTGTAACTTAAAACCGATCATTCAATTCTCGACGCATTTGCATGTAATTTGAATCAATTACATCCTCAATTTAACTGTTAAACCAGCTATGAGAATAGTTTACCTGTTGTTGATACCCGTTGACATATTCCTGACGGGTTTCAAAGCCAATTGGTTGGCCAGGCGTCGCTGCGGGATCCATGAACTGGCCATTTAGCGTACGTTGAGGTGGAGCAGCACCTGTTTGTGGTGCTACTGGAGCCAGAGGCGACGGCTGTCCTGTAATTGCGTATTGCCCCGTAGTACCGGCACGCTGGAACGCCGATTGATCTGTTGCGATGAATGCTTGTTGCTGATACGTTACTATAATAAAAAAAAATTCATTCATAAACAATTCCATTGTTTTCTTTAACCAGATATTACTTTAAAACTTTTTTCTTTTTTTTTACTCATGAATTCTTGTTGGTAAATTTGTTTTTTATCCTAATTATTTACTTAATCTATTTATTACCTGGTTGAGGATGATAGGGAGTTGCAGCACTGTACTGAGTGTGGTACCTCAGGTCTTCTAATTGATTAGGTGCGGGTATTTGCTGAATAAACTGCTGAGGAGGCCAAGCTGCGGGTGCAGTTTCTACGGTAACTGTACCAACAGGAGTAACTCCTTGATGCCATACAGTGTTTCCAAAACCAGCTGCTGGTCGGAATCCTGTACTTGAATCTCCGTAGAATGGCATTACTCCCGGCGACTGTAAAATAAACATGACAATTAAATAAATAAAAATATGTATTTTGATAAAATAAACAAAAATTGTTGAGAGAATATTTTTTTCAAATCTTCATGAATGCTTAAGCAATGAATCAAAGTATCTCTATACTTTAAGCTGAGCTCTAAAGTTTTAAAAAAGTTACATTACTGCTCGATGAATATTTTATTTCCTATCTTCAGCTTACAAAGTATAAAAGCCATTTTTCTCTCGAGTGCTTTTCACTTGCGCTTTCTTTGGCAAGAAAAATGGAAATAACAACAAAAAAAGAGAGAGAAGGAAGGGAAAAAAAATCTGAAGAAAAAACATGAACATGCTTTAGCTTATCCCACTAAAACTTCACCAAGCTTTGATATCACGTGCAAGTCTCTCTTAAGCTGTGTCACTTCTCTTTTCCCTTTCATCCTCTTTTTGTCTTATTTTTTTCATTTCTGATTTCCAAGAGAAAAACTGTGAAAAGCACTGTGGAAATTTATCGCTGTTTCACACGAAAGAACTAGCATTCAACATGACACAATACTCTTGTAAAGTGTTCGTTATATTCTTAAAACTATCTGCATTTATTTTTTGCAGTCTCTTGTCTACTCTATTTTAGAAACTTCTAAATTTCAACGTTGTTTTGTTTGCTTTAATCAATGAAGGGATTTTACGTTACTTTATTTTCCTCTTAAAAATCCGATACTTATTATTAGTCATGCTTGTCATAATTTATTAATATAAAAAATGGTTCAATTTAAAACACGATATAAGTTTAGTAACTTTTTTCAACATACTTTTCTGGAGGTTTGACAGTTTGAAACTTAAAAGTATAATATGTTAAAAGCACGAGTACAATAACTTAAAAAAAAATTTAATATTAAATTTCCAGTAGAGCTTCCATATTTCACTGACATTAAAAGCTGTCAGAGAATATGGCAAAATTAGGATAATAAATCTTTCCTGAATGTTGCAATTTAAAGTTAATTTTTTCCTTAATATTCTTCTCGAATATAATCAAGTTGTGATGTCATTTATCCCGTCCATGGATTATAATAATCGTCACGATACCACGATTCAATTATCCAGAACTGAATTACTGAGGTAATCCCATCCTCTCGTTACTCGAGAACGGAAACGAATTTCCTCGGGTCAGTTAGCGAAGCTGGAGAATCCCAGGTGAATCAGTGTAACGACGGAAGTTCGTTTAGAGATTAGGGTGAGAACAAGAGACTGCAAAAGACCGAAAGGGATAAATTAATCGGCAACATTGAGTTTCCTCGATCAGGAACCATAGTTTTAGACTTCAACTACTACTTCCGATCTCTCCAACGATACACAGGAAATACCAAGATTTCTCCAATTGCTTTCGAATAATTTTACGAGTAATCTTCTAGTGAATAACAAGTGAAATGTACTGTACAGTTTTAAACTTTCGTGAAATTTCAATTTGTTTTCAACTGCTTTGTAAAACTAGAAGTTGATCTGTGCCCCATTTAAAGTCCCAATCACATCGTTGAACACTGTACATATTTGTACAGACGACTAGGTACTTGCCAAAGTTAAATATTTAATGAATTATTATTATCATAATTAATGCAACAAATCTTTGTTAACAAGTCAAATAAAATATTTTAATTGAATATTTATTTACCAAAGAAAATATTATCATCCAAGTCTGTGTTTATTTTATTTTATTACTGTTAATTTAATTATTAACTTTTTGTTTGTCTTGTTGAAATGAAAATGAAAGCAGGTAATGCATTTGTTTTGTTGAGTGTTATCTTAAGAATTTTCTTATTAAGATATTGAATGAGTCAGGGTAATTAAAATATAAGATGTATCTTTGGAGAGAAAAAAAATGTAATAAAATTCCTAATTATTGAAGTGTTTGAGATGCAAATTAAATGGAATAATCAATAGTCTTTATCTCGAAAGTAAATGCAGTGTATGTATAGATCCACAGACTTGTTTAAGCTATTTTTATTGTCAATTATAGAATTAATTAAATTTAATTGGTGCAATTAGAATTGTAATTTGTAATAAATTTAATCGAATTTTCTAATTATGATGAAAAATAAGAATTTAAAATAAAATTTTATGATCCTTAATTAAATTACTTTCATCGGTCTCTACTATTTATTTGGAATTGTTTTACGTGATATGATTAAAATTATATATAGTTTAAATTAAATTGAATGACAGTTTTTAATTAAATAGTTGAAATGAAAATTAAGTCTAATAAGCTCTTTACCACATATGCAACTGTGTTTGTCGTATGACAGTTATTTTATATTAATTTTCACGTAACTCTTGACAACTGGAAAATTTAATTAGTAATTACTAATTAGTGAGTTTGTTTACTATTGAGAGTACTACTCTATCAAGTTGTCCAATTGGTTTTCAAAGTTAGAGTCAGTCATTTTAATCATGTATCAATTGTCAGCTATTCAATGTTATTTCAGCTGTCGGTTCAATGTTTGTTATTTAATTTACGGAAGGAAATATTTACTCATTGCATTTCATGATGAAGTGGTCATCAGACATGAAAAAAAGGACAGCTGATACCATTCAAACTTCATGCGTGCGTTACATTTAAATATCATGTTTATTATGCGAGAATTTTTTACAGACGATAAATTTCCTGTTTACTTCATTTCATAATCAATTTTCGAGTTGACATAAATTGTTAAACTATCATGTAAGCTAAATGGGCTTGAATGGAAACAAATTGGTGGAGCAAAAAAAGGAGGATTGTAAGTTGATGTTGACGTAAAGCTAAATAGTGAAAACAAGACGAGTGTGGTTCAAGGTCTGAAGTAGTAAGGGGATGATTGTAATGGTAGAGCTTGAAACCGCAAGTGGTTGTAGATCGGTGTTTGAGGTGAAGGCTGATAGCATCGAAGGAGCAAAGCAAGAGCGGGCGTGCAGCCAAGCGAGCCGCGAACACCCTCACCCTTTGAACTCAAGCGCCAACTACCCTTGTGTGCGCGTGACGTCTCACCCTCTTGAACATTGCGACGAGGGTAAGTCCGTGAGAAATCCATTCCGTTACTCTGTGGTATCATGACCTAGACCAATCTCGGTCTGTTCTGCGATAAAACGAGATGCCCCACGACATCACCAGCTAAACGCAACCCGCGGGATCAACTAACCGACTCTATTTCCACACTAACACCCTTTTCACACGATGACCTAGACCCATTTAATTCTCTTCTACTTCCTGAAACATTTCAACTTGAAGATCCACTTAAATTTTGTGTAATTAATTTACTTGATAATTTCATTTAATCTAAATTCATTTTAATTAGAAAATTTAATGAAGCATTTTTTCTAGAAAATCTAATCTAGAAATTAATTATATTTCGAATTGAGAAAAATTTAATCATCTTTCTTGTTTGATGAAGAAAAATCTATTTGAGATAATTAATCTCTTTCAGTTTTACTAAAATATAAAAGAGGTAATATTATTGCACCCAAGTAATTTCATTTTTTCTATAAATAAAATGTTCAATATAAAAAGCATTTTTATCTTAAAGAACCTTTTAAGTAAGTACTTGTTAGGTTATTAATTTAGCTTTTGAAAATTAATTCACTAATTTCATTTACAAACTTACTTCTCTTCCAAGTAAAAATTTTCATCCATTTATGATAATAATATTATTATAATAAATGTTAAAAGTTAAAATAATAATTGTATCAAAAGTGGTGAATGAGAAAGTAAAAAATAATTGCGGTGGCAAAGTGCAATTTATTGTGACGAGGATTATTGAATGTTCGTGAAAGAATTCTGGTTAAACACGAATTGTGGTTTTTATTTAGTGTATCAGCAATCGAATGAGTGAGACAGTTGCTCAAGCCAATTGGTGGTTTTAATAGCAACATCAACGTCAACGCAAGCACTCATCCATTTTCCAATTGACCACAAGTGTGTGAGTGTTGGACACGCAGTTACAAATTTATCGGGAAATTAGTGGAGACAATCGTCCACATCGATAGGTACATCGAGTGGGCATATATTCGATTAAATGCTCGTATGGGACAATTCCCTATACCCTGAGCTTCGAAGCTTGTCGGAATTCTATAGTAGAGATTCACCAGTAGGTATACCAGGCTTCTACTTTAGCCCATTGCACTACGAAAGGGGGATGAAAATGGGAGTTGACGCCTCCCTTGGGTATGGCTCAAGCTGCGCCGTCGCTACAAAGCCTATAAAACCCAATCGCTTGGCAAAAAAACTGCAATCGAGACATTCAAACATATAAAAAGCAAGTGTAAAGCTTTTATTAGATTTATTCAAATCTATTGTACGTTTTTTAACACCTGATTTTTTATTTTCAACATCAACTGAATAAAATTTTAATATCGAAATGAAAAAAATTTATGAAAGACAATTTAAATTGGGTGGAATATTTTGCATAAGAATAGGATAAATGTAATTTTAGTTTCAATGCAATAACGAGACGATGTCAGCTTTTGTTTTCTATTCCGGCTCGATGCACGTTGGCCCAGCTAGTACAGGTGCGGCTGGAAATACACGAAAGTACGTTTAGTACGAAGTAAACGCGAATATCCAAGTGAAAACCACATGTGTTCTATATCGTGGTTGGAGGCAATTCGTGTTCCAACGACTACCGGAATTCCGCGGTCTCGGTTTGCTGCATAATTGCGCGTTTCGATGGATGCTCACGGAACACCGGTTCCTTTATCATTTGATATTGCCAATTATTGTCACCGTTCAACTGAACACGTTAACATTTCACGACTCTTTGGTCCCATCATCATCTGTCACTCATTTCTCTCTATTTCTTTTCAAAGGAAAATATTTTTATAAACTCCCTAAGGAATTTTTTTTATTTTTGTTTTATATGCTTTTAATAGAAAAATCATTTGTGTTTGGACTATAAATTTTTCAACTCCTCGTGCATTTTTATTCGGCGGAACAATTATGGTAAAAAATTTTACCACAAATATTTACTTTGTCAACCACTTTGAAAATAGAAAACTTAATGAAATATTTTTATATGAGTTTTTAGAATTGTATTTTTTTCATTATCGTGTTATTTATTGTCATAAAATAGCTGTGAACGTTGAAGCTAAAATTAATAATAAATTTCCAACGGAAGAGTGGTTGTTTTGAAAAAGAAAATTAAATTCTTAAGCCATATCATCCACTTTTTATGAGGAATCCTGAATAAAAATCGTAAAATATTTTAATACCCTGAAGAATTTTAGGTATTTCCAGTAGCAAATTCTCCGAAAAAATATTTATCCATAGAAAAAAAAATATATATATATATATATATATATATATATATATATATATATATATATAAATAGAATGCTTTATTATTTTGTTACAAAACAACAGTGGAGCTTTTACCAAGAGGGTTGTTTATTTAAGTGATAAAAATAAATTTTCTCAAGAAATTTATTTAAAAAAATAACAGAAAGAAGAATGAATATTCAACAGTTGGACGTTGGAGTCTCGAAAAAAGAGAGAAAAAAAAATAAAAGAACTGCAAATCTGTAGCTCAAAGCGCGAATTGACGCGCGAATAGCCACTTGATCCTGATCAAGAGCTGAAGAGTGCTTTCATGACAAGAGTCACTGGAGAAGGACTCTCGAACACGGGGTAGATTGACTGTCGTAACGAAATGGCATCGTCGTCAGGTATACAATCTGACGTGAGCCAAAAGAAGGGGTGTAGACCACCAGCAGACGCTGGCTGCGGGGGCGGTGACCGACCGCCAACGCGAATCAATACCCGCAGGAACAGGAACCGCCAAGCAACGACGAGGGAGAAAATGGGGAGAGGTAGAAGGGAGTAACGGAGACGTAGGAAGAGGGACGAGAGCAAAGTGGAAAGTGTGGAAGGGAGGAATTGAGAGTCGAGAAAGTTCATGCATTCCAAACGTAATCAAAAAGAGAATAAGGGAAAATAAAAAGGGTAAAATTGACTATATTTTTTTAGAAATGAAGTAAATGAAATAAGATTTGAATATGTCTTCATCATTTCTCTTTAAATTATTTGCCTTTTTCTTTTTACTTTATAAATAAAGAAAAATGCTGAATATTTTGTTGAAAAAAATCCTTTTTTGGCTTTTAAAATCTTTTAAATTAATTCCGACAGTTATTTAAATCTTCTCATCCATATTAACCGACTCAATTTGATTCTAAGAACTGTCATGATGTAATTTACATAGAATAAATAAGACACACCAAGCTTCATCTCAAAATACAACACCAAGATATATAAACGGTATGACTTTATGAAATTATAAACCCCTTTGGGTCAATACGAGAAGAAAACCAGATGATCTAGTGCAGTTGAAGCAGATTTCGGGATATGGTAAACCACGAAAATTACTGAATATTACAACTCATAAATTAATTCCATGAACAGCATAAATTATATTTTTAGAATCATATATCCTTCTCTATTTGAAATTCAATTAATATTTAATATCGTTATCATTGGACGCTTGAATTAAAAAATTCCACTTTAATGTATCCAATAATATTGGAAATTTGAAAGAAAATCTACCCCGAATGAATAATGTCGTTTTTTTCTGTCTGAAATATGTATCTGTAACCATTGTTTGGTTTTAATATTTATGCTTCATAAAAAAATAGCTTTAAATTTATGATTTTGAAAGCTGCTTTTTTTTAATGCATAAAAAAATTAATGGCAACGCTCTACGAAGAACAAAACAATGGCAACTTTTAAATGAAGAAATGCTGCATAAAATTTGAATTAAAATTTTTTTGCATAACGGTAGGATATTTAAACTTTTTTCCCTCTATAAATTTTTGCTAACTCACCATTGAAACGACGGGTGGAGGTGGGTTTCCGTTTCTAAGTGTCCCCGTTTGTTGATTCGTTGCAGAATTGAGATTATCCTTAGTCTGCTGCATGGGGTCAGTATGTAAAGCCTGCTGAGATTGGGATTGTTGAGTTTGATGCTGTTGGAGTCCTCCAATACCTGCTTGAGGACTTCCTAAACCAGCTGGCGCACTGTCTGGGGTACTCACTTGTCGTGCTATCTTTCTGTAACTCTGTAATGAAAAAAAAAAAGAATGATTAATTGAGTGAATTCCATTTTTATCTCGTTTTGAAGTTTGCATTTCACAATACGAAGGATAGATTGATCGAGAAGAATCTTATTTAAGTTATTTTGAATCAGAAAGAGATAAATCTGATATAAATCTGAATTAACAATGTGACCCTAATGCTAAAAATAACGTGACTCGACTTTAAGTAGGACGTGGCGCTCGAAATAATTTTCATAGTTTAACATACGCTTGCTACATGTTTTCCATCTAAACTTCAACAATTTATATCGACATTCCCATAGCACGGTTTTCATTTCTCCAGAGAATAAAGTCAAGAGTCTCTTGAATCTTCATGACGTCGCGAAAAATGTTTGCTTCGTAGTTCAAATGATTTATCCATCATAAAAGTTTCTTGAAGGAAACATTGATGGTATTTTTTTTTTCAAAATTTTCAGAAAATATTTACATCATAAACTTATTGATTATAAATATTATAATAACGCCAATATTTAATATAGCATAGGAAAAATATTATGCTAGAAAACTTATTAATAGATAGAGATAATTGCTTGAGCTTATTCAAGATAAAAATTGCATAGAAAAATGATTGCTATTAATTAGAGGAAAAATAATGAAATGATTAATAAAACATATAAATAATATACCTCCTGAATAATATTTTCTTCATCGTAATGAATTATTAAAGAAAGATAAATTTTTTCCTTCATGAAAAAAATTGAATCCAATGACAATAAATATTCATTTATTCCAAGAAGACATTTTATTATTCTGAATCTACTTTTTTAATAAGAAGGAAAATATTTTTCTTGATACTTATTCTCTTCGAAATTCTTTTGGAAAATTAATCCACAGTCTATTTAGACAGGAAATAGGAACTCATTTATTTTACTGAATAAGAAAGATTTATTTTAAATTAATCTTTTCAAGCAAAGAAGAAAGTCTCTCGAAATAGAAATAACTTCTTCTGAATATTTTTCCCTAATTAAAAATAATTGTTTCGCTAAGTATAACCATGTGAAGTAGTCGTATTTCGCTGTTCAAATACCTCGATAATAAACTACAGAGATATTTCATTGGTTCGGTCAATGACGCAATAAAACACGACGAATGTGACAAAGAATGAGACGTTTATCCATTAGTACTGAAGAAACATGGCTTTTATTTGTACTATTAACGAGTTATGCTGAATACTACAAATGAACGGCATGACTCATGAACGGAAGTTAGCAATTAATTGGAGAAATAAATGTTCAGAAGAGATACTTGAATATCTTTAGTTTAATTAAATATTTTACGATCGAATATTTCCCTATGAATAGACAATTACATTAAACATTACAATCCACCTTCGATATTCGCTGGGAAGAGAGAAAGGTGATTCTCAACAGGCCTAATGCAGAATATAGAATTGATTAATTATTAAAAATAAGTATTCCTCTTTCAGAAAAATATGACAGGAGATGTATCGATTTGAAGGAAGAAGCATCGAGATATATTTTTATCTCATATAATCATGAATCGTTCACAGACGCGATTCAAACTTGTCTGTTGGCTCTGTGCCCAAGCCGGAAGACAGCGATCAGCTCTTCCGTTGGAATTCGATTATACATGTACAAATTACACTACTTGATTTGTTGTTATCTTCATACAATGATAATCATTCACTTTAAATATACATTTGAATTCATTTAACAATAAAACTATTGTTTATTCGAATCATACTTCATTAATATCGTAATGGAAAAAAATTGTTTCCTTCTTTATACAGTCTTATATAAACGTCGGAAAATATCAAGTGATAGAAAAAAATGTAGATTTATTGTTTTAGAAAAGATATAAAATGATAGATTCAAATGATACGAGGGGATAAAAATAGTTGAATAAAATTGATTGTTAAATATTTTATTTGTTCATCAAGATATTTATACTCTGAATGGTGCATTGAAGAAAATAGACTTTTATTTTAAAAATTTTACTTTATGACAATGCTGTAAAATACAATGGAACAATATGAAGAGTCGTCAGGGACGTCTCGAAGCTCAATTCTAACGTCGAAGGCCATAAGAAGATTGCGTACAGTCAAGGTTTAAATTTTATTCTCCTTTCCGTCAATATTTTAAAATTGACACAACGTTGATTGGAGTGGAGAATGAGATTCCTTTACAATAATAACTCTTTTGAATTCTACAATAAAAAAAAAAAAATCTTAATTGAACTTTGAAAATATATACGTATACATTATCGTTCATTATAAGAGATTTTCCTCATCTTCGTATTTTAATACGAAAAGTTTTGTGAAAGTGAACTTAACGAAATGACAATGACTTATAGACTGATGGAGATAAATTTTTGTATTATTGAATAATATTATGTAGACAATTGATTTAATTTAGTGAAACAGTTGTAAAAATGTATTAAAGTAAAAGACCAACTCCTTTAACGAGCAGTACAGCAAGTTGGAACGCCTCTTTGGACGTTGGGAATTCATTAACTCAAGTACTTATCGAATGAAGGGACTAGTCTGAGTCCTTCTTGTGTAATACAATGCTCCTTTCGAATTGCTAATTTTCTTTTCTCTCAACGTAATTACTAGATATTTTTTGTAGTTGGTCGTAAAAAACAGTCAATATTTTAACTGCAAGGTTGAATAATCTCTCAATTAGTCATGATAATTAAATCGTTATAAATATGACCATTGTTGCATCGTAAATGATAAATAAATTAATTGTAATCAGTACTGGTTATATGTACAATAAATTATCACAATGGTATAGAGTTTTGAATTCGTTATCGATAGAATTCAGCTTTTATGCTGATTAATCTTCTCTACTGCAAGCTTTATTACCTTCAAGCCATTAACAAACTCATAATAATTCAAACATTTAATCTGCTTAGTTTAATAATTTCTATTCATTTGCGAACTTGGTAATAAAATCAAGTGATCGATGTATTATATATTATCTTGCAGGCTCAACAATTGATGTGAAGGAAAAAAATTTAAGGAGATTAAATTCTCGTTGAATTATTGCTCCAATAAATTTCTTTGTGAAAAATTATAAGAGTGGAGAAACGTAATAATAAGCAATAGATCATCGAATATATTGAAGGAGAAATTTCCTCAAAAAGTGTTTTGTTCGAGACTCTTTTTTAGATGAAAGCAAAACAAGCGAAAATAATTTGCTGGATTAACAAAGCAAATAATTTTATAGAGTACACAAGAAAAATTGTTCGCCTGTCATAAATGGATGAAGGTCGGTTGGATGTAAACTTTTAGTCTTTCGAGCGTCAATCATCATTTGAAAAAAAAAAATGATGGCCAAATGCCCTCGAAAATCTTTTCAATTGCCGGTAGCATATAGCGTAGAAAGTCTGTGTTCCCTCCAGCGGCTCAATTGCTCCGTAGAGGGATAAAAGTACAGAGCAACTTCTGAAGATGAGCTCGAGTGTTTGGCGGAAGCGTTCACTTTACATTGCGCGAGGAAAGCCAACCAAGCTACTTGTCTCTGAATGCCGTTGGCTCCCTTTGACTCTCTCAATCTTGTCGCCACGTGGTGCCAAACACGTGGTATCAACTTTTATTTTTATTCTTTTCTTTTAAACATTTTTTGTATAAATATTTACATGCTATTTTAGATAAATAATTAGAGAGGAATGTCCTTTTTTTTTTTTTAATTCACTTGGTTAATTTTTGATGTAAAAAAAAAAAAAAAAATAAAGTGAGAGAAACTACAATTGTTTGAAGTTTAAGACTTGGCTCACGTGTTACTGAAGTACCTCTAGAACTTTTGAGTGCTTAACTCTTATTTTTTCTTCTTCACACCTCTCTTCTGTTCTTTCTTCCAAGTGTTTTACGTTTTAATCGTCACCTTTCACAAAGATGCGTGAAATCTTTAAATATTTAAATTGCAAGATAAACTTTCTGTTGGTTTTTAAAATTATAATACAAAAAACGTTTTAAAAAAATTTAATAAAAAAGATTTTCTCGGCACAAAAAAAAATTAGTTAGTCGGTATTTTACTGTTATTTGATCAAAGGAATAAATTGAAATTTTAACGAAAGCATCAAATATATATTCACGAAAAATAATTCACCTCTTCTGATTTGCTTGCTTGTTCCCGCACGTGCAAAATCACAAGAGAGAAAGACAATATTCGACCTCGACGCCGTTCACTGAACCGTCTCGTTTTTTTCCCCCGGCTGTCGGTGAATAAAAATGAAATTCTAAATTGCAAAAATAAATATAAAAGAAGAAAAGTAAAAAAAAAAATGTCGAGATTATTCTTAATCTTAATTGTTATACTAAAGGAAAGAAATTATAATGATGCCGATGAAGAAACTCGTTTCTCACCTTTCCCTTCTTCTTCTTCTTCTTCAACGTATCGTTGTCGTCGTCGTCGTCGCGGGAAAATCGATTCTCGACGGACTAACGTTAACTTGCACTCAGCTAAATTATCTACTGACACTGAACTTTAATTTAATAAAGTAAATAAAAATACTCGGATAGATTTTTAATTGCTTCGAGGGTTGATTTTCTTTAAGTTTACTTCGCGTTATTAAAACTTGGAAGATTATTTCGTAGACACATGGACAGCGCCAGTCTATCACTGGCCACGGTTACGCGGAGTCTCAACCTTCCACGTTCGATGACTCCTCGTGCTGCCGATGGTGTGTTCCTTCTCCCTCAATCTCCCTCCCTCGATTTCTTCACTCTTCACTCTTCTCTCTTGTCCTCGCTCCTTTCGCCTGTCTCTTTCTATTGTCTCTGCGCTCTTGCTATTCGCGTACTCCACCGAACCACGATGCTCCTGCGCCTCTTATCACTGCTGTCTAATTTATAAAGTGACTCAAGGTTCTCTCTATGTTTATCCACTCTTTCACACTAGTCTTCGCGTCTTTTGCGGAAGAAATTTTTAAAAATTTTTCCGTTAAAAAAAGTCGTAAAAAAGTAAGGAAAATATTTGGTAAACTTTTTCGACATGAAAAATAGGGAAAGTGATTGGCACGATTTTTCGCGCGACTTGTTGGAGCACACGAGATAATGCGTCTGGTACGTGAGGCAGAGAAAACGCGACTATTCAGCGCGCGTGCCGTGTCTGTACACGAACTTGATCCACGTCTCTCTTTGCTATTCTCTGGATCGCACCTAGTGTCTCACTTGGTCTTTCATCTCTTTCGCTCCAACTATCGGCGGTTCTCGCACCCCTCCTCACCATTTTCCTCCTTCGTTTCACCCCCGTTAGGTACTCCACCCTCGCGAACTCTCTTCGTCTGGCCGCTACCAAAGCACCGGTTGGTTGGTCGCTCGACCCTCCCGCTCCACACCAAAGTCGCGGTGCGTCAATTGCGCGCCATCGCACGTTCTTCGTGTCTTCGGGAACCCCCGGAGAAACTCAACTCCACGTCGCGCCCTCCAGCCTCGGAAATGTTCGTGTCTTTCCGGCAATTGCTTTTCCCTCACTTCTCTCTTTCCTTCCCGGTAGTCCAACGGGACCTTCTCCTGGAGTTCCTTCCGATAAACATTTTTTTTAACAGGCTGCTGGTCCATTCGTTTCCCTATCATCGGGTATCGTATCTCCCATATTTTAAAAACAGCGATAACACGTTGTAAAAGTTGCTACTTTTCTACCTCGTCTTCTACTACCACTATACTTGATGATATAAAATATTTTTTTTATTTTTCCTACACATGGCGACGTTGGTATATAACTTATGAATACAGACTACATCTCCCTCCCTAGTGACTGCATTGCCATGGGAACTAATTTCATTCCGACGGAAAATTTATTTTATTTCTTTTTTAAATGTGTATTTTGCTTTTATGTGGAGGAATAAATTTCGTAGTAACTAAGATTGCAAATTTATCAGTTTATATGTATATATACATGCATGTATATGAGGATAAAAAAAATGTTCACTTGGCAGAGTAAAACATTTCTATTGAGATAAGATAATATTCTATTGGAAAAAATTTTTCATTTAACATTTTTATTAAAATTTTCCATAATAATCTATTTCACCAGTAATGAAAAAATTTTTTTAATTAAATACTTTCTTGATTCAAGAAATTCTCATTTTCTTAATAATAAATCATTATTAAAGGAACATTCACAAAAACCAAACGACCTAGAATTTTTTAATAAAAAAAAAAATTCATCCATTTATTATATTTTCTTTCGAACGGTTTTTCATTCTTCCGGTAGTAAATCTTTAAAATAAATGTCCAAGAAAACTTGAACCGATAACCATAAAAGTACATGTATATACATCAAATATGCATCAATTTAAATGATTAAAATTATCAATAAATGCAAACCGTTGATAAATATTTCCTTGCAAATATCTAAGCAAGTTAAATAATTTATTACTTGAAGAAAGACTCTATTCAAATGTTTCAACTGTTGATAAATAAATATATAACAATGTACAACCAATTATCACTCAATAAAAAAAAAACGATAAATAAATTTAACGAACATTCTTTAGTTAAGATAATTCGATGATTAAAAAAAGAATAATTAGCAAAGCGAAAATGAACAATAGGTTTATTGAAATTATGGATTAATAATGAAAGCAGCAGAACCAATAACAAATTGAATACAAGGTTTCGTTTATTAATGTCTCCTGCAACAAGTTGCAGTTGACTGTGTTAGTCATAGGGAATATCACCCTCTCACCTAGCCCTGTGTATTTCACTCAGTGATTCCCCGACCAGCAATAGCTCTTTCACTCGGCAATGTGGCTGTTATATCCCTTTACGAGAAAATCTAGAGCCAGACTGTTAGCCATTCTCCCTTCAGAGTACACAAAGTTGCGTTATAGCTTCATCTCAGCTAGAATCAAGTTCCTCACAGCTGAGTACAACCTCCGGGTGTTTACATAGTTCTCTGTTGAACAATGTGGGTTTTCTTCAATACTACGAAGTTAGCTTGGTATTAAAATAGTTAGCGGACAAATTGATACAAATGTGAGGACATTATTTAAATGCAAGGGATATAGAAGAGAAAAGTTATAGCACAGTTTATTACGCACTATTCTAATCCCTTGAGTTTTAACATTCATTAAATTCATGCCGCGGGAGAGGATTCATATAGTAGGCAATTTTATATCCTGAAGGATCGCGAACGCAATAATAACCCCAAGCTCATGCGGGATTTACGGACACATAAAAATCGATCGTCTTTCTCTCACCCCATCTCTCTCCAAAATGAAATTACATCTACCATGACGAATTTACTGTTCCTCTTCATCGTTTCATTTTAATTAATTCAAACGCGCGAGATTATAAATTAGTAAAACCAATTCAACGTTGATGAAACTAAACAAAAAAAAAGATTAACATTGTTGATTGTGTATGCATAATATAAATTCTTGAACGTATAAATTTACTATCTCGTTTTCTTTCTTCTTGTTTTTTTTTTATATATTTTTGCTCGAGAATATTGGAAGAATGATAAAAACATCGTGTAGATATTGAAGTTTATCGACTGCTTGTCTACATAAAATGTCGACGCACGTGAACTAAAATAGACACGTGCAATCGCCGGTTGGGTATCAGCTTGCTGCTTTGTTCCCTTTTACAAAGTGATATAGAATCACATAACTTGTTATATTACATAGAACTAGTTCTCCAGCGATATCGAAGGGTGCTTCAAATGACTCATCCACTTAGTATGATAAATGGCTAAATAAAATGCATTCACATGAGGTACCGATTTTAGTTATTAGAAAAAAATTATTTTAAATATTTACTATGTAAAGAAGTGATGTTGAGTTACGATTATTAATGATCGGAATAAATTAATACTTGAATCTTTTATAAATTAGCATCTTTTGCATGTTAAAATGGATGCTAAAACTTTGATCATCTCTGTATTTAAATATCTTTATTCCCAAGTATGCAAACGATGTTCATTATATTTTATTCATTAAAAATTTACTTATCAAAAAAAAGTGCATCCATTTTATCTCATTTATTTTTAGAAAGTTCTTCAGTAAAATAGTGTACCTAAAGAGTTAAATAAAACAAGAACAATGCGAAATGAAGTCGTAATTAATAATTAAAACTCATGTTTTAATGAAGTGAAAATGGAAATATGACTCATAATAAAAGTTTAATTATTTTCTAGTATTAATTTGATGTCCATTCCAAAATAATTACGCCTCCATTTATACATCAATTTAAAGAGATATCGAATATATATATAGAAAAGAATAAAAAAAAAGTTTAGTGATATCTGAAAATAGTTATGATTCATGAAATTGTCATCCTTTTTCATAAAAAGTCTAATCTTTTTCTTGGAGATTGGATAGACTTCGTACATGGTTCAAGCCTTGATTTTACATTTTACTGAACTTATTTCGTATGGAATCAAACTCAATGTCGTTTGCCTAACAATAAAACTCTATACATACATTTCCGCCAAAGTATACATATTAAAAAGCGTATTAGCCTGGAGAAAAATGGCTGTCATAAACCACAAAAGAAATAAAAAATGTAGAACATAAAAGTGGTGGGAGGTGGATGAGGAGTGTGGGAAAGTTCAAAAGAGAGAAATTGAAAAACGTAAAAATAAGTGAAAAATGGTTAAAGTATAGTTAAGGCTACGATGGTAGGCTGCTGGAAATGAGAGAAAATTTTAAACATGGCGGTGCTCAACAGTCAGCCGTACCACGCATCGATCAATAGTGTCTTGTTTAATACTACCTCTCAAATAATTCTATACAGCTGCTCTTGATTTTAATCAAATTTTTTTATAACTTACTTTAAGTATCGAAAAAGTACGGTAAAAATTCAATTAATACGAACGAAAAAAAAACTCCGGTAACTTTTTTACAATAATCACACCAGCTGCAAACTAAATCCTGCTTTCAAACAAGAAAAGGAAATAGTTTACGTAAATATTTTTCCGTTCTTACTCATTGAAACAAGTCCGATTTGTATACTCAGTAAGATCAAGGCTCTGATTCTCTATGCAGACAAATGGAACAAACAACGAAAAAGGAAGACCGTAAAAACTTGTCGAGTTTCAAGTACTGCTTGAAACCGCGGTTGCTCTTGAGCTTTTTATCGTCGCATTCAAAACTTGTACAAGTTGAAAAAAAATTTACTTTTTCTCATTTTCTGCAATAAATTACAAGATATTTAATGAAATCATTCTTTAGATACAACTTAAAAAGAACATAAAAAAAACAAATAGCAAGTTTTTTCATTTAATAAAGTTTACTTACACGTGTTGCACCTTTTCCTCGACCTCTTCCTCGTTCTCTAAAGCTTCCATCTCCGGTCTGCAGATGATACAAGTGCTGTAACAAACAATTACGTCCATAACTAAAGAGAAAAAAATTAAATACCTCAAGTTTCATCTGTATACTCTACTTTGACGTTTAAATATTACGAGCTTATCCAACAACTGTTGATAAAATAGCAAAATGCGTCAAGTCCTTTCATGATAGAAACCTGTATATCCTACAGCTTCCAATTATTTTTACCGACAGATTTTTATACCGGCTGCTTTCATCTTGATCATTTTCTTTCCCCTCGACGGTAGTTAAAGTCACTGCACTGCTGCAATTAAATAATTTTTTTTCGTATGCGCCTGCGCAGTCTACAAGGTCGAAGAAAAATTGATTTTTTCGCGCGTCCATCGTATACAAAATTGAATTACGTCTCTAGCGAGCCCATTAAACCGAAAATAAAAGCATCAATAACGAAGCAACAGAAAAGCTGTTAGATATATATATATATATATTAATTGTAGCAGATTGAATGCAGAGTCTGCCAAACTATTTGTTGATTCTCTTCCGTATTTTTCTTTAGTTTACATCAGAAAGAAGATTAAAACAAAAGAAATGACAATAATAAATCTAAAAATAAATATTTCATCTTATAATTCTAATCATTGTCATTTATCAGGACTATTACATTCCAATAAATTTAATTAGTAATTCCCTCGCATTGTTCGTTTCCTAGTTTTCCCCAAACACTAATACAAGAACGTGCTTTATTCCAAGGAGGAAGAAAAGTGAGTCCCCGTGGGGATGCACGCGTGGACAATTACGGTCTAATTCCCTTGTACGACCTCTTGTGCGAGGGCTCTCACCTATCCTCCACCAGCCTACATAACTATATCTTTCTTCTTCTCTACATCATCCTCGCACCTAAAGTATCCGTGTCGTAGTAAATGAGTCCACGCTCGAAAGAAAGGGGTGCTACATGCGTTCATCCCCATTTTTACCTCTACTGCAACACGTTCTTGCATAATTTACTTGGAAACACCCGCTTTCTCGTCCTCTCGCCATGCAATAATCCCTATTGGAAATCTTACGGAAAACATAGGATATCAAACCCAATGCAAATGTCAATATCAGGGTGATACTTTGCTCAAAAAGCCACTGGACTTGGGGCGCGAATCAGGGCGTAATTAATCGAGGAAAAGAAATTCTGTTTTCTCGCCTATTAAACGTGGGATCCTTTAGATTCAATGCGCTATCCCCTTGCGACTGATTCCACTGTGTAGAAGAGAAAATCCCTAGGCTTTGAAAGTGATCCCGCAGTTAATCAGGAAATATATACAACATGCCGCGATCAAGATATAAAAATAAAATATTCTTTGCGCACTCCAAGGAAAAATTCTTGAAGAGTAAAAATATTATTCCTGATCATCTGAATTTCACTGAATACATTTTTAGAATTGATTAATAGCCTTTTTTCATCATTTAATCTTATGTGCATAATTGTTTTTTTTTCTATCTGCACCAGATTTAGAGATAAGCAAGGTATAGATCACTATCAATTATTCATGCAGATATGAATATAATTTTAATAGCTAATGACATCGGCTGGTGTACTGAAGCAAAGGAAAAATTCTTTAGAGACTTGTAAAATTGTCACGAATATACAATGACATTATCTACCCATTCGGATCTCCTCCGAAGAGCTTTTACCTGTCCTCTCTATCATCGACATGCGACGACATGCTTGTTTCCTTCATTATTTCGCGCTGATATTAATCTTCCATATTTTCTGATGCTACTGGTGTGTCACAAGTACAGTTTCTATAAGCAAATTCTTTTAAATACAATGTTCGTGTATTTTTTCTTGTTATGACATATATTATTTGATATTATATGTATTACTGAATTAGTAATATGAGAGACAGACCCAATTAAAAACACACGCGCACGCGGCAGCTGTCAACGATTGGACGATAAGCTAATTAAAATATTTCGTGAATAAAAGAGTTAACTGACATAATACCGTTTGTTTGATGTTTGCAATATGATAATGCTTTCGATCTATCATTTCAATCATATTATGTTTGTATTTTGGGATAACATTTCATTAAAATAGATATTGAGTTTTTATATTTAATGAGTAGAGAAACCTTGAAAATTTTTATCAGATATTTAGGTTAAAATGATAAATTTAGAATTAGATATACATATGAATAGATGAAATAAATAGTTTTTTTTCATAATATATACGTGTAATATGAGTAATGAAAACACTTTAACGTCAGCTGGACATTTTATTTATTTTTTTCTACTGAATGATATTTAACATTTGGCTTGCCAGCCGTAATTATAGACAAAAATGAAATAACAATGACATTTATAATAGAGAATATTGTTATAGACTCATACATTAATTAAATAGCGGACACAGCGGTTTATATATCTGATGATATAATATTTAAACATGACGGAGAAAGAGTGCCGAAGAAAATTAGAATTTTATTTTATTTTATCAGGAATCATTTGTTGCATGACTTTTAAAAAAGTAATAGATCATTCATACAAAAACCGCCCCCTGGTATGAAAAAAAATTTATTTCAATATGCAGCTGTTCCTCCTGACGCTAACGATACAAAATAAATTCCAGTCAAAATTGAAAGCTTGCAAAGGAAGAAAAAAATACAGTCTATATATTACTGGCGAGAGAAATAAAAAGATAACCAACGACGTGGCGAGGACAATTGAAAAAAGTGATAAGTTTTACACCAGAAAGGACACCGGATTTCCGTGAAATTCGACATGACAATTCCGGGATATGTTTCATTAAATTTTATTAAAACATTTCGCCAATGTTCTTTCCCTACAGGTATATAACCATTTTTGCAAGCGTCACGAAACTAAGGACAATGCACGCGATAAGAACTCTATAAAAAATAAACTTAAATAATACCAACACCTTCTGATAAAAATTATAGTTGAAAATAATTGTTTTATCACAAATAAATTCATGTCACGAAATAATATTACAATTATTTAAGTTACTTTTTGAAATAAAAGTGTTTGTAAAAAATTGACATTATTTACTTTCGTAAACGATGGATGATTAAAGGTAGAATTACCATAAATTATTGGTAATTTTTTTAATCGCCAATATAAATGAAGTATGCGGTGAAGGCAGTTGGTCAGAAGGGTAAAGAAAAAAATGAAAACCACTAGTAATTAGTGGTAAAATAATAATGAGTATATATCCACGATATGAATGTTATATTTTTTTCAAGAAAAGAGATCGAAAATGATGCAATGAAAAAAATCTTTGCATGTTTCGCAGCTGCTAAACATATCATGATGGAGAAAAGTCATGTCAGATCTGAGTGTATACACTCTCGCGAAAGCTAAGACCAGACATGGCCATGCCTCTCAGCTGACTTTAATTCCGACAAAACCATTTCATTCTACGACAGATGGCTGGCGGCCCGAAAGAGCCGTTGCTTTCATTAGAGCCCTGGACGGTTAGAACAGGTTGTTATACCCACCCGCTACCACCGGAAGAGAGAGGTTTGTTAACTCTGACTAAATCGGGTCAACGAACCAAAATTTTATACGAAATAGCTAAAAAACATACAACTGTCCCTACTTGACGTATCTCAAGTATTTATTCTGTGCCTCAAATATGTAGACATTGGTCAAAACGTGTTCCTGATCAAGACCATCATGCGGTTGAATTTTTGTTCAGCTCTTCCTCTCTTCGATTGTGATACAAAGTTCTCCTTCAATTGCATCGAATTGATTCCATTTTGACACACAGCATCGATTTAATGCCATGCTCGATTAAGTGAGAATAATAATTTTGAATTATATCCGCATCACCTGGCAAAATTGATGACGTTCAGTCCATTCGTCACACACTCACGTGACACGCTTCAAACACTTTCGTGCGAGTGTCTTTACCATCATCCCGAAATTCGATACTACCATTGCCAATTTCCAAGCCCATTCGACACTGTTTTGCTATCATTACTTGCACAACCATCAAGGACACTTTCTGATTTCTGAAAATAATTCAACCCCTTGGAACCTAGATAAAAAATCAATACTCCCTTATAAGTGTTTTGGAGTAAATAAACATTTTGTTTACACAGCAAAATCAAGTCTTTAATTTTTAAAATTCATGAGAATATAATTTTTTTTGGTTTAGTATTCGAAGAATATCATTCAAAATATTTCAACTTGTGCAAGATTGTTTTTTTAGTGGCAATTATGTATTATTTGCAAAGAATATCTTGAATATATTCTTACTACTAACCAATTACATAATGGTGTGACTTGTAAACATTAAACAGTGAGTTAGTATTTAACGCGTTGATAATTGTAGAAAGCAACAAAAGACTGTCCCACTCACCCGGATGCGGCCTTTACCTTAACCCTAACATGAGGAAGAATAAAACAAGTAGGTTCTGGTAACGGCTTAAATAATTATTTTTACAACGTTTCCGAGTATACGCACAGTCTTCTTGTCATGGTCTCGCTCGAGCGCCTCGCAGCTGGCCCTCTTTGCTCGTCAGTTCGCGGCAGCAGCGTCGAGTAAGGGCGTCCCCGCATGCGAACTTCGCGGCTACGCCCTTAGGCAATGCCATGCAGGATGCACGCCTTTTTCCCGTCAAACTGCCACAACCAGGGAACCCATGTTTATACTTTATATCGCTGGAAGCTTCTAGTTTTCTGCACGACGCACTACAGACCAACAGCAGGCGCTTAATCCCACTCTTTCCCTCAAAACTTTTACAAGTCTATAGTTAATATACCAAACGTAGTAATTACTTTCGATGGAAAAAATTCCACCTGCGAACCTTGAGTTATACGTGTTCATTTTCATTTCTTGGAAATATAAAAATGCGATGTGTCTATCAAGGAGTGAAATTGGAAGGGCAAATTAATGAATGAAACCAGGAAAAAATAAACAAATTGGAGAATTGATATTTATTATCGACTGAGTCTATTTTGAGAAAGCCTTGAATTATATTTATAATAAGTATAAAGTGTCTTGTAATGTGTATTAAGGATTTATTTTT